CACTGACATTTACCTCTCTTATCCCTTGGCTTTTTCGATGTTTCGCGAAAATCCTGTGTTAGATATTGGCTGTGTGAATGAAGGGAATGTGTGCTTTATTCCCACGGTTCCCACGGTTTTCGTACTGAAATATACGTGTGGTATGTGCAGTTCGGTGTGTTTGCGGTCACAAGAGCTGAGAGTGGTATGATCATTGATCAGGCGTAAGAGACACTGGAACATATGTCGTGTTGTAAGTGTGGCTGGAAGCGATCCGTAAGTCATGTAACCGTAAGTCATGTTATTAAGATCATCGCTTAGTAATATATAATACTGAACGAGGCCGGTGTAAATAAATTTTCAAGACCGAGGTCCTAACTGAATTTTTGAACGAGGCCGAAGGCCGAGTTCAAAAATCAGTAAGGACTGAGGTCTTGACAATTTATCACCGGCCGAGTTTGGTATGTATTTTACTGTATGCCAATGATAAAACAATTGTCTAGACCGAAGCTCTTAGCGGTTTTTTGAACGAGGCCATCCCAAAATGTTGACTTGGTAATGCATTTTTGACCGTGGTCACTTTGCTTACACCAGTTATTACCACACCCCTCAGGCTAATGTATTTGAATAGGCCAGGCATACAGTAAAAATGGTTACGCTTAACAGTGAAAATGAGTCAAGTCCGTGTACACTTAATTACCAATAATTACCACCGAGCCCATGACATTTTGCCTCGCAGCTCATTCGCAAAAGCACTTTTCGTGTGACCGGGGCAGGCCAACCCGAGCTCCCACTATCGCGTTGTATGTATTACCCTGACGTTTACACCGCCTCCAGACCGATGGCTGACCGAGGTCGCGTGACGGTTATGGCACCGTCCCCCGCGATCGGCGGAACGACCTGTAACATTTTCTTCGATTGGCTGGGCGGCAAAGGCGGGCTCGCACCACAGTTGTATTGCGCCGGTCTCAACTCACGATTGTAGTGTCTAGCGAGGCATGTGCATTGCGACTGAACAACACTCATTCATACACGATATGGCGATCACAAATATGACTCACTCCACTGCACTAGCCTATAGGAACATTAGTGACATTTCTCTGCGACTCTATTATATTCTGCTTCTTTCATTCAGCTGAGTCGCATTGGGAAGTTAAGCTAAGCACAGTGTTTGTAGCGGGTCGCCAGAAACGTGTACAGGGTTTCTCAGTTTTATTGAACTACCTATCTCGGGCAGAGCTGGTCTAATCGGTGATTAGACCAGTCTATCCGTCTGGCGTGTATGTCTTACTCGCGTTAATTCAACTCTAACTCAGCTCGGAGTAACTCAGCTCTAAACTCACAGACTAGGTGAGTTGAGTGAGTTCAGTGCACTGATTACATCAAGCATGATCAACTTACGTATTTCCTATGTATCGCAATTATAACGAAAATATTCGTATCAGCGCACACAAAACAAATTGATAATGGTATTAGGTATATCATTTACCGAAATATTGCATTTAAAACTTTTCAATGACTAGATAATTGACTTTCGAGCATTTGCGGCTGAATAGCTCGCATGGAGAGAAAGAAAATAACGATAAAAACGGCATCGTGGGCTGGTGTCAAACACGTTTGTCGTGTTACCTGCAATAAATACGACTATGTTTTGCTGGGACAGAATCGTCACGCAAGAACGGACGCACGGCACCATACCGGAGGCCTTGGAGGGGACATGCTAAATGATTGTGACACGCACAACACAGAGACAACGCTGCTCAACAGCCACAGGAAAAAAAGTTATATGTTTCAACAGCTGTTACAATGAGCGGGAGCCGTGGGGCATTATTGAAGTTGAAGAGATGAAAATGATGAAAATGTGCATATTTTTTCCTTGAGATGAAAATGTGTTTTTTTTAACAACACGACTGCGTCGGCTGTTGCGGGCAGACAAAGTAGTTCTGAGTCATCTGTCAGTGATGAATTTTGATCGGAGAATATAATTAGCACCGATGGATCAGCACGTCAAAAAAAAAATCTAACCAGCAAACAATCGTCAACATATTGCCAGAGCACGTGAGCACTAGGGTTGACTATTAAGTAATGGAAGTGCCTTAAGCAATTAAACGTTTTTGCACGTGCACATAATTTTTTGGTGTCATTTCATGCGCCGATGTTTTTTCTATCCAATGGTGAAGACCACATGTCCTTAGCTACTTTTTGCTATAAGCTATCGTCGTTTTCCCAAGAGACCACCCGAACCTGTGGCGCACCACCTGGCAACGGCCAAAACCGCGCGCCAGCGCCGAGTGCAAGGTCATTAGAGCTCAGTTTGTCTATAGGGAAAAGGCCTACCAAGATCAGAAAATTTCTTTTTTAAGTGTATGGAGCGACGCAGCCTCCCCACACACGATATGTCGGTGGTTTCATCGGTTTGGGAAAGAAAGCGCCGATCAGTGTTCTGGCGGCGTTCCAGGAGTGGGTCAAGGCGAGGCTGGAACAATGTGTGATGCTTGAAGGCGATTATGTGGAGTAGTGTATGCTGTCATTTATCGTGCCTATGTGTATTTTTTTTATAAAAATATAGCCATTGTCCATTGTGTAGCCATAACAATAAGCCAATAAGATCTGATGACCTCGCGCTGGCGCTTGGCGCGCGATTTTGGCCATTGCCAGACTCCTTTTTCATGGTGCGCCGCAGGTTCGGGTGGTCTCTTGGGAAAACGACGATAGCTTGGAACAAGAAGTAGCTAAAGACATGTGGTCTTCACCATTGGATAGAAAAAACATCGGCGCATGAAATGACACCAAAAAAATATGTGCACGTGCAATAACGTTTAATTGCTTAAGGCACTTCCGTTACTTAATAGTCAACCCTAGAACAAAAACCATCGTTTAAAAAGTCGAGAAGCACACAAGAGCACTGGCGGATCCAGGGGAAATTTAGGGCCATGCCCTCCCCCCTCAAAGCCCGTTTGCCCCCCCCCCCCCTCCAAAAGAGACCCGAGTCTTAACATAACGCCTATGGCGGTGCATGGAAAGAAAGGGGCCATTTCGGCCATTTGCCCCCCCCCCCAAAAAAAAACGTCCGGCTGGATCCGCCAATGCAAGACAGAGCACATACAACGGAGACCTGGCATCGATTCTATGGTCAAGAAGTCTATCCACTCAATGTTCACACGTCACTCGCAATCAGCTGTGCAAAAGTCGTATTTATGCAATCAGCTGTGCAAAAGTCGTATTTATATGTTAAATGCTCAGCACACAAATTATACACGATGTGGCTGTATACAACGATGACGTCTTCACAATATTTCGGACAAAGACGACCAATCGTGTGCTTCGGCATGTTTTTATGTGCATAATGTATACTGTTACTATACAGTACGAAGCTCATCAACCATAAACCATGTATGTTTAGGCAAATGGTGTGCCGATGCAAAACAAAAGTCACCGACCATGGAACACTCGTAGACCACGTTACATGAGAGCGCAGATAGGTATGCTATATACATATTTTATATACAATGTACTTACAGAATAGCGACTGTCAAAGCACCCACATCACAGGACCGCCTAAGCGGGTAGTTGGACGGATTTTAAAGGCGGGTGAATATACCCAAACAGTACATTTAGCAGCGCTGTAAGGCCACATTTTGTGCCTGTTTAGCTGTGTTGCAGCCTCCATTATTGTGTGCATGCATCGCTGTACAGTGCACAGTGCATCCGTAAGGCATACATCGGAACACTCGGAGCACTGCGTGTCGCGCCGACGAACGGAACATCGTATAGTCATTGTACCGGCTCTTACTTATAAACTTGTCGATAGATGGCAGCAGTGGTGAGCGCCTGAAAGCATACTGTGCCGCCGGGCACGGACATGAGTCCCTCGACGGAATAAATGGCGGGACAGCAATAAAATACCGGCTGTTCTGTCTGCTGAATTAACGATATTCTTGTCGAAAGAATTATATCATATAATTGGCAAAGTGTGGAAATTGTCTTAAGCAAAGCAGTTAAATGTTACGGGCTACTTATGTTGTCGGTCTAATCTGTGTAACACAATTCAAGTCTTCAAGTCTTCAGTAATCGCTTGCATGCTAGCATTCTAAAACATGAAGGCTGTTGCTGAGCACCTATTTATAGACCTGTTTGTGTAAAATTAAGAATTGTCCGGTAGATAAGACAGCCACGTTTTCTAAAGATACCGAATGCTAAATAAAGCAGTGTGTGTCTCGTCTATTTTTACCGAATATTTACATCATGTTATCCCTTCCTAATGCCTTACGCTTCGGCCTATTATTCTGACTTAGCGTTGGCCTAGGTGACTAGCGCATCCCTGAACACAGAGTTACATAATGCACTGTACACTATTTCAAGGCCCTCACAAGCGTTCTCCTGTTTCAAGAACTTGTGAGGCGTGACCTAAGCATTTGTACTTCTGTGTTCCTAGCATTTAATGTTTCACAAACAAAGCATTTCCGTGTATCTGTGCTCGAGGGGAAATTCATAATGTTTAATAGCGCTCACCGAGAATTGGCTACAAGCAACGCTCATTCGTCAGTTTAAAAGCATCGTGTCTCATGCATGCAAGTTGCCCCAACGCTGTTGAAATCCGATGCCCTTTTAATTTTGTTCTGTGTGAGAGCGTGGCCGAGTGATGTAAGTGAAACATATATGTACAAACACTTCATAGGGGATTGGGGAAATGCTTCCCGACCCCGGTAAGCATTTACAGCTCTGCTGAGAAGGAACTCTCAAACAAAGAGGAGGAATTCGATCCATGCATAGTGGTGTCCGAATGCAGCTGGGCCAGCCAAACTATTCGGAATATTGTCTTCACTGGACGGTGTTTGTATACAAGGCGAGTTGATGAACCGTCCCACCTCAGCAAGGCACACACCATTGAATCCCCACTTCATGTAGAGCAGTCATCAGCTACCCTTGGCCTCCTCACCAAGCTCCAGGTCCCCCAGGGCGCCCACTGTGCTCACAGTCGCCGCGCTGCTCTGTTCCCACGGTCCTGCAGCACGTTCAGCTCACAGTTTCATTACCAGCTGTGACAGGATGTTGGCATAGTTGTGCTCCACGCTCAGCGAAGGCAGACAGATGGTCTCACGGTCCGTGGTGCCGGGGATTTGTACCACAGACAGAATCTGGAAACGGACGGCGCTGTTAGCTGATGCCCCGGTAATAGACGGGTTTAAGTTTTTCGCTGATGCTCAGGGCTAGATTGCTTACCTTGAGAAGTTTCCCGATCATCTCCCACCCATATAATAAGGGCATTTATCTTTATCCATCGTGCCCTACCTGTTGGATCGGTCCGGCAGGATACAGTCCTGTAGCCGATAACTGTACTTCCGGAGGCGGTATAGACTCGGTACTGACAGGGGTAGTATAGACTCGGCACTGACCTGTGTGCCCCTGTTGGAGGGCGTCCCCGACCCGCTTGATCTGTCAGGCAGCAGAGGCAGTATAGACTTGGTACTGACCTGGGTGCCCCTATTGGAGGGCGTCCCCGAACCGCTGGACCGGTCAGGCAGCAGAGGCAGTATAGACTCGGTGGCCGAGCTGCTCATGTACGGGTCCTCGTCATGGGGAAGGTCCGTCGATGACGGCTTCTTTGACCTGCAGAAATGTATGTGCTAGCTCATTTTCAAGCATAAAACGTCGTTTGGTGTTTGGTTCTTACCATTACTATAGTAAATAGTGGAGCAAATCTCTTTTTTTTTAACGAGCTAATCTTTATTGATGGGCAAAGTTGACAGCTAAATGCTGCAATAACTCTATGGGTAGTGAATCCAAAGGTAAATGGCGCAGTTGACCTCTTTAAAAGATAGGTAAAGCACGCTTGAACCTTGCAATTACAGTATGTAAGTCAAGTGTCTATGCATATTGGTGTCATCGACTGTTCGGCGTTCGCTCCCTGTTAGACGTATTCACCCCGTGTGCCCCCGTCCTCACTTGTTCCTTTTCCACAGCGTGATCCTCTTCTTCTCCCCGGCGTGGCTGACGGCGTCAAACAGTGAGAAGAGCAGGTCCGGGTTACCCTCGCTCACACTCCGAGTCTGCTCGGGAGAGCGCCGCAGACTCCGCTGGTCGGGAGGGGTGATCGGGGCCACATCTGTGGGACAAAATACGGTGGATCGCTTTTATTGGCTCGTCGGAGAGCGATTATTTGACATCCGAGTGATCAGTCTGGCCCCGACAAGGTTGAATGAAGACTTGAAATCGCAGGCGTCGGCCAGGTGATACATGAGCGCAAGCTATGCATGCATTGATGCTTAAGTACCTAGATATAAATCAAAACCATCATTATTATCTGACGTTCATGTTGCATTTAATGACAATGAGCCCACTGCCCTGCCTGCGACCACGCTGGCCTACCATTGATGTCCTGCGCGTCCTTGGACGTTGTGACGAGCGGTGGAAGCGACCCCGTGTTCGGAGAAGTGCTGTTGTCGTTCGGCTGGAGCCAGAACGACTGGGGCAGCGCCCGCAGCTTCATCGGCAGAGGCTCTGTAACCCAGGTCAAAGGTCAGAGCAGGTCAGCGGCAAGGTCAGGTGATGCGGTGTTACAGATCCGTAACAACTCTGTAACCACGTCACAGGTCAGGTCAGCGGCGAAGTCAGGACAAATAGGGCTACAGTTCCGTGACAGCTCTGTAACCCAGGTCGGCGGTCAGGTTAAACGTTGCTCCACGCCATGCTATAGACTCGGTAAAGGTAATTACTTACATATATAGGATTTGGTTTAATGTCAGTGGAACGAGACAATCTCAGCATTCACTAAAAAGCCTACGTGGATAATGCGTACATGTCCTCCATCAACATTATATTACATAATCAATTAGAATTGGTTAGTTGTCTTAGGTATATAGAATGCAGCCAAACTGGCCAGTTTACCCTTTTGCTTTTCGACTGCAGAAAGGCAATCAGTCTAAGTGGCCTGCTGAGTTACTATACAAAAAGGAAAGTGTTATTTGACTCGTGTCCCGTCGTCGCAAAATGACTGTTGCTAGCCTTCCAAGCTCCAGGAGTTCGTTCCTGCCGCACCAGTACACTCATTTTACATTCATGATACACAGTACACACCCGTCATAATTGAAATGAGTAGGAAACCATATGGCAACTGGCAACAGCTGAAAATCGACCGTGACTGAACTGCTGTGCAGTTTCAAGGGAAATCTCATAGATGGGGCTTTTATGTTTACGTCATGCTTGCATATATAATGTCACAGTCATTTAACGGGCTGTCATTAACGGACCAGCAATCTACTAGCAATGGCATCTCAATTCATGGGCATTACCATGCCCGGTCATCTCAATTAACCCTCGCCCGCAACATGCCATTTTCCCATCCTAGAACGCACATGGGGGGGTTGCCACCCCCGCGCCATTTCGTTCCTGTTGGAGATAGAGCTTCGCGATAAAGACCAAAAAGATTCTTTGGGAAAAGACGAACCCAATGATACCCAGTTTTACCTTCTCAGGTCAGTCATTCACCTTCCAGGTCAGGTCAAACTAAAAAAATGTTGCTGTTTTGGGTCACCGTTGGATATCAAGTGCGCTGCTTATCATATACCGATGACGATGCTGTTTTCTGGTGCCAAGCCAGCTAGAACCTCTTTGTCACACTACCCGACCAGATTTTTGTTGCTGAGGTCATTTCAGGTCAAGTTGGGTCAAGGTCAATGATACGTGTTTGTATGTCTGTGTGTGTCTGTGTGTATAACCGAGTGTTTATGTGTCCATATTACATGAAATCATGATCTGAGAAGCTTTTGCCAAAAATGCAGTCAAAAAATTTCACGAAAAGTAAATTCAGCTTGCCTAAAACGCAATTATTTTAGATGACCTAGGTTGACCTTGACCCTGACCTTGACATCTGTACATCGTCGAACAACATGTTCCATGATAGGTGGGAGGTAAGACTGGCAAAAAAGGCCGAAATCAAGGTGTCAAAAGCTCACAAGGCCCATAGCCAACGCAAGATGTTGAGAATTGGTCATTTGGGTCATGACATGACCTGAAAAACAAGGTCATATCTCCGAAACCAAAAACCACAGAAACTTAAAATTTTCAGTGGACATCAAGAAAGGATAGAGAAGCAGCTATACGAAAAATCAGGCTTCTAGCTCTAAAAATGTAGAGTGCAGAGCAGAAAGACTACCTGGGGGTGGCAACTCCCCCCCCCCCCCCCATGTGCGGGCGAGGGTTAATGGGCATGTAACCCCTTTACTCATCGAAGCTCGAAGCAAAACATTCGAAGCTGGCGTTTACCATCTACTGTGAATGGAGATAATATCCATGCATGTTTATCAGCTCATCTCAGCTGCACTTAGCTCCGAGGCAGTGCGATCGAACCGTTCGTAACGACAGGAGCAACAGCTTCTATAGGTACATACATTGCGGTTCTGAAACTATGGCCATGGATGATATAAAATGTACTTGCTGATAGATAATTATGAGATGATGAGATAATAATAGATGAGGTTATAGTATTTTATCACCATGCTATGGCTCATCCAGTCCTGTTATGGCTGTTAAAGATTGAACTCGGCCATTTAATACTCGTATATACGCATCGCTTCATTCAATTTAGTTTCAACGTCACTCACGCAACAACAAAATTATTATTTTTCGCTAAAATGCCCCCTGGCCCCTTGTCCCTCGGCAGAGCAATAATACTGAGCCCAAGCGAGCCTACCCATATACCTATCATAACGCAAGTCGTTTTTCTTTTTTGAGTCACCAAATATCGCGTGTCGTTCTCATTCGGCGCCGCTCTGTATAATTATGTACAATCGTGCCAAACGCCTGCCTCTCACAGACAACTGTCACTCAAGTCAGAAACTGCCTTCGGTCATGACCCACGCCCGGGTCGAACGTACCCCCAGGGCATTCAACCCGCCTGTCACCAGCGGTCGTCGCCCATGACCTTGACAGTGCCCGGCCGCATTGATTAGTCCTAAAGCACGCTTCACATTGCTGTCGCCGCTGACGCTGCGGCCGTCTGTCGGGTGTTATTTGTATACAACTGCGCCGCGCCACGCCGCAGCCGGTGGCGGTGGTGCGCCGCTTTGGCCGCTGTCGTCGCCGTCGAGCTCATTAGCGATGTCCGGTATCGTCCCACACGCGACTGGGCCTCCAGACAGTGGTCTAAATTGCCTCGCGGGTGTATCGAGAAGACAAATAGGCCCGATAGACTGACGGCCTCGAGTCAGATAGGGCGCCGGCGGCAGTTACAGTGAAACGAATTTTTTTTTTTCTGAATCTTTGAACGTGTGTTTTTACTGGATGACTTTAAGCTTTTCGCATATTGTTCCATTGCAAATGAACGTTTGGAAAAAAACATAACTGCAGCCTACAGGGTGGACCAAAAAGGATGGAAACATTTTAAACTGGTATAAAACATGTATAATTGCATGCATGTGACTGGGAATGATACCAAACAAGAGCACATTTCGTGGAAATTCATAATGGCATCACTCTCATATGCTTTCTCCCGTTTTCAGTCTCTCACAGCAGATGTTCGAAGAGGCCACCTTTGCGAGACAGGCACAGAGCGACCAGCCTAGCTGCTGACACGATAGCCCGCTTGTATGGCTCACACAGCCTTGCTGATCGCTCTCTTCAGTTCAGAGGCTTTCTGGACCTTCCTTGTAGACCCGGCCATTGAGATGACCCCACAGTAAAACATCCATAGGGGTCAGGTCGGATGAGCAGGTAGGCCAGTTCCGACTGGCACCGCGGGATATCAGCCGGTCACCGAAGTGGTTTTCGATGCACTTGAGCGTTGTTTTTGCGATGTGAGGAGGCGCACCGTCTTGCTGGAACCACATAAGGTCTATGATGAGGCTGCCATGCTTCGTTTGGACTCGCTCTCAGAACTTCCTCAGCGCCGCCTGGTATGCGCTGTTGATTGACGGTCACGGTGTCGCCGCTCCCTTCCTCACGAACCAAAGTGGACCCATGCGATTCCTTTTCCGCTGAGGGCACACCATTTCCGTGACCTTGCTGCTGTGCAGTGACTTCTTTATCATCTCATCTCAAGGGCCAGGTCTACAAGGAAGGTCTCTGTGACCTGAAGAGAGCGATCACCAAGACTGTGTGAGCCATACCAGCGAACATGTGTCGTCGGGCTATCGCGTCAGCCATCAGACCGGCCGCTCTGTGCCTGTCTCGCGAAGGTGGTCTCTTCGAACATTTGCTGTGAGAGACTGAAAACGAGAGAAAGCAGATGAGAGTGATGCCGTTATGAATTTCCACGAAATGTACTCTCGTTTGGTACCATTTCCAGTCACATGCATGCAATAATGCATGTTTTATGCGAGTTCAAAATGTTTCCATCCTTTTTGGTCCACCCTGTACAACAGTTAACTAAATGTCCATTCTCCATCTGCACCCCGCGTCGACCTGTTGTATCAGCCTACCCCTTCAGGCTTTTTAATTTTCTTTTCATAAACACGCAGGTCTTTCTTGAAAGATTGGGCATCACCATAAGGAATTAATAATATCGACCGCACTATGACTGCCTTAGGCTGGCAAACTAAAACTTCATTTACGTCTGAGCATTTTACGTTTCCGGGAAAGCGTGGAAACGTCTATTTCCGATCATTTTTCGGTTACATCATAAGGATGCATCGGGTTATTTTGTCGAAATTTCATAAGGAAGCCTTGGGTGTTTGTTTCAGTATTGTATTTAGTCCCATGAAGCCAACACCAACGTTTTCCGTATAGGTCCCTTCGTTTGCGTTGATGTTGATCCATTGCTCTCGTTCATGTTTTACATATGTCCTTTTGAGGAAATGGCCAAGCCAAACTACGTAACAAAGTATGCCTCGAACAGCACAAACTAAAGACTCGGTTATCTTCTTTTCGGAAGTTTGTTTCCTCCCCCTTCCCTATTTGTACGGTACTTTGAAAGGCCAACGACAAAAACATGAGGTTCTTATCAGAAATCGATTATGTCCGGGCGTCTTTCCAGGAACTAGTTACCCGCTGAATACCTACCCACGCTACCATGAATGACGATATCTACGTGAAGGCTGAACGGGTATTGGATCACGACATGTCATTTGCCATCGTCCACCGCGTACGACCCTTCATAACTACTTGATCCCGTTTTCCATACGACTTATCGAGCTCGTACTATCTATCGAGCTGTTTAGGGAAGATTCTGTGGCAAAGCGACGTCCCGTACAACCGCGGAAGCGATTGCTTTTGTGGATGGGTGGCTGCTACATATTTGCTCATACTCGAGCAGAGAAACACAGTCAAGCCATTATAATTTTATAATTGCAAATTATATAATTCTGCCGCTCGATGTCAGGCGCGCCGGACGCGTTGCCAGCCGGCCGTCACCCCGTCAGCTCGGACCAAAAATATCGGGAAAAAAACTTTTCCGAGGGCAATAAATAAATAAAAAAATACAATGCTTGTTACAAATTTTCATCTACTGTCTACCTTTGAAGCACTATCATGCTTCCATAGCCTTGCCAAGCATCATCTGCATAGCGTTACATATCTCTATCGGGATCATAGATGTCTGTCGGGACATGCCGTCTTGCCTCAGCTCACCTCTCTGCTTTTGTCGCGGCCTCGCTGACCCGGTGACCGGCTCGTCCTTGACCTCGGGCGGCTGGTCCACCGACACCACGTTCTTCTTCTTCTTTTGGTGCGAGGTCTTGGTGCGGGTGCCCTGTCGCGCGCCGGGCCACATACCGGCCGTGCTCGGCGGCGGTAGCTGCTGGGGCACCGGCTGCGCCGGCTCCGCGCTGGCTCCCACGGCTCCCTCCGGCTCCGCGGGAGCGGCCGTGTCGGAGGCCGCCGCCGCGCCCGACTCCGGCTCCCGGATCCGGGGAATGTCATCCTCCTCACTCTTACTGGAGGAAGAGGAGGGCTTCCGTTTGCCACTGACGTTCATCGCGAGCGATATCCGCGCTGCTACGCAGGTCAGTGCGCGGGTCAGCCGACACTCGTTAGATCACCACTTCTACTCACTTCTCAAGTCCACCCGCGCACCGATCACAAATCTCCCACTGCTGCAGTGTCACACACGCTCCTGTCTGTCCCCTGCAGCCCGAGACCGCCTCAGGGCATGCCGCTGACCCGTGTCGGCCTCAGGGCATGCCCTGCAGACATGGCGCACGCGGCCGGTCCCGCCGCCGCCGCCGTCGCCGTCGAGGGCGCCTCTGGTCGCCGGTTTGTTGTCGACAGGTCGCCGACGGTTGCTAGGCAAGGGCAAGGCGGCGCTGCTGCTAATGGCCCCGGTCGCCCTCCCCCTGTCCACCCGTTCCCCGCTGAGTGACTGCCGAACTGTAACTACACTCCGCCGATTTGGTCCGATAAACAGTCTCGATGTGTGTTACTGGCTATTCCCGGTGGTTTCGGTGATAGCGGCCGGTCCCAACCGTCGAGTCGCCGCGGTGAACGTCGACCGGTACCGGTCGGTGGGGTTGGTTCCTCATGACTGCGCACCGACGTTCGGGATCGATGTCGACGAGCGTCGTGAACGACGCACGTGGTCGACCGGTACAATTTGCCGACGGGGGAGGCGTGACCGTCTGGGAGCGGGGAGGCCCCCCGGGCGCACGGGCGGTGCCAGGGAGTGGGGACGGGGATGGGGGAGGGCGGTAAATGAGGAAGGGAGTGTGGGAATATGACCGGGGTCATTGGCCCCAAATGGTGATTCATATGCCAGTTAATGGTAACGTCGCATCCTTGCTCAAACGCGTGTCCGCGGTTGGCCTCTAGAGCCACGCCGGCCGGCACTGTCGAGCGGTGACCCGACCTGACCTCGCCGGAAGGTTCGTGACGTCATGCCGGCGGGCCGGCCGTGAGCGGGACGGCTGAGGTCCACTCAACGCGGTCCGGGCGAGTGGAGCGGACCAGCAGCGGTCGCTGCTGAGCATGTTTCCTCCACCCACCCCTCCAACCATCTGCGTTGGTTTTACTTACCTTCATTTCCTTACCTCGTCGACCGTCTCCTCTCTCTTAACGATCGCCTGGAAGGTGAATGGGATATAAGGGAGAGGGAGAGAGAGACGGCCGGTCGATAAACAGCCAACATATGAGTATGGAGCATACGATGCCGAAGCGTTACGAGATTAACTAAAGATAACGCCAGTTATAAATAATTAAATATATTTGCAGTTCAAGCGTGCCCAAGTTTCAGGTTATTTTCAACTGGACTCTGGTGGCGGCGCAGCACAATATTGCATGCTAACTTGTAATATTGCATGCTAAGTTAATGACTGCTTCAGAAAGTCATTAAATAAGCATTTATCGAGACGTCTGTAGGTATGAGTAACTCGTAGGTAATAAGGTGAATAACAATAAAATTAATCGAGTGGAATCGGATTCGGGCAACATTTGATTCCTTGTCAATTAAGTGATCCTGAATTTATACTTTTGGGACGCTGAGTGGCACAAGCTATTCAAATGTTGCTAAGACGACCTATGCTTTACGAATAAAAACATAATGTAGTTATAGTTACAGAAACGGGAAAGTCCAATGGAGCACGTTTTTTTTAATAAGTCTCGCCCTTCTTGGATTAATCTATGATTGCGCACGGTTACGTTTCTCCTTATTTGACCTGACCTGCCCTGACCTCGTGCGTACCTGAGCTGCCCCTGTCAAGAGCCCGGGGCGATAAGAAGGTAGGTTTAATAAATGTCCTGTCCGGCCTGTCGCCGACGCCATGACTCACCCAGCCGTCCGTGCCCCGACCGTCAGCATGTCTCGTGACGTGAGGAGTTATTAATGAACTGTCACTGCCACGAGGATATACATTGCCGTTTCCGGGAAATTTGCCGTCATAACTGCAGTTACATGCCGAACTCGTGGGTGTATGAATACGCCCAGCCTTGTGGTTAACCGATCCCGATGTTTTCGGGGGTAAGTTGAGGGTGCTCACTAGAATATGCAAGTCTATATATCACTGCTCTGCACTGCGATAAAAATATTGCCGATTTTGTTTAGACCGGGCCAACACATTTTAGCAATTAATTCAAAACTAATCGTTTTATTATTTACCTATATTCAATTCAATCATCTTTATCGTTCTATATTCCAAGATAACGATACTTGCTGATGTATTTTTGTCACTGCGGAAATATATCTTTCAAAACATTCCCACTAGTTCGTCAGCGACCTCCGTGGAACTCCCCGTGGCAGACGTGGCTACTTTCTTGCCAGCCACTCGGACGAAAGAGTCGAAACTGAAAGATTGTAACCAACCCTACACTTAAGATGACTTAACCCGGCAGGCGGTGGGCCTCCCAGCCACCTTCCGCGCGGTGGGGGGGGGCCTTTTTTTGCCCCCCCCCCCTCGTATCTCCGAAACTACTGGACGGATCCGGAAAATTCAAACGGCGTTCGATATCCCTGTAAAATTTGTCGAGGGAATCCAAATTTCATTGACCTCGGGGTCACCGATGACGTCACAGGTCAGGTCAAAGATAAAATGTTTCACCGTTCACGGGGCTTCTAGGGAAAGCGCTATAACACCGAGTAAAACGCATTTTGTCGAAAATCAGCGATAAGGCGTCAGTTGTCTAGTACATATGTTGCTATTAGAGGTCACTGGTCATACCAGGTCAGGTCACAGGTCAGGTCACCAAAGGTCACCAAGGGTCACCACATGAACCCAACTTTACTAAGGTTGTGCGATGCATGTTTTATGGCCAGTTTTTCATTTCCAACTCAATGGTATTGGTTATAAGACCATCAGGTACGGTTTAGGTCACTTTCTGGTGGAGGTCAGGTCAAGGTCAGGTCAAAAAAGGTCAAATTTCAAAGTTGATATTTTTGCATAAAATGGGTATCGATTCGATGCAGCTCGTCACGGGGAGTCTAATGGTGGTCTTTGTTTTGCGCTACGAGGTCTAGAATTGCTAAAAATTGAGTTTGAAAATTTGACGTCATCAATTTTGAAGTTTTTTCGCTATAACTTGGCCAAAAAAGAGGCATTGATCTCAAATTTGGTATGTAGATAGAAGGCGGTAGGGACTATCACATATATTCCGGTTTTTTCGAAATTCGAAAAACTTTTTGGATTTTTCGGTTATTATTTTCAAAAAATCTATTTTTTGATTTTTGGGGGTCAAAATCCAAAAAATTCGAAAAACCGAAATAGCAGTTTTGTAGCCCTCTTGATTCCACACCTTTTATGTCTGGAACATTTTTCTGTATCTCTAAAGCTGTAGTCCTGACAGCTCTTCCCGCGAAACTTTTTTTTGGGTCGAAAATGGCAAAAATGACGTCACTCTGACGTCATTAGCGGCCAACCTATCATAGCCTTTGGAAAAAAATTTGGTCACCATGTGCGCTAGCTACTCCCAGGAGGGTACTGAAAGTTTGGTGACGATCGGCGTAGCGGTTCTCGAGATATATCGAAAAAACTAAAGGGGGGGGGGGCAAAAAAATGCCCCCCCGCACCGCCTGGTCGGTGGCGGTGGTACCTACTGGCCAGGATTCGTCTTCATTCATCTTGCACGGACCATCAACGACACTCGGCGCTACCTAGCGTCAGCACCAAGCGTCGGCGTTGTGAGTCTACTATAGATGTCAGCACCTGTACGAATATTTCCTGACAGCGCTTGCTGGTCGTCGTTTATTGGGGGGTGAGAACGGGAGACTTTCAGTTTTTCATTGAAGATTGGATTAAAAAAAAATGATCAGGGATGACGAGCTGTGAGAGTTACCGAACATGCCAACGTCCAATAAAAAGCGTGTCAGCAAATAACTTTTCCACCCTGTTTAGATGTTAGTATTGCCCGGCCTATCCAGCACGGATTACGAGATGCCATGGTGACCAGGCATCGGTAAAATCCTTTTTGAAAGGATTGCATTCCCAATCCACATTCCTAGTGCCGAAGTGGATTGCATTCCTACCTGCAATCCCCTTTTTCACTTGGATTGTGATCAAATCTGCAATCCTTTTTTGCAATCCTGTTGTATTATTATGTGCACTAGTGGATCTGGGGGAGGGAGGGGGCATAGGGCCGTGCCTCCATCCCCAAATCACCCATTTCTAGTACCTAGTCTTGCGAGTAATTCCTATCTAAGGCACACCGCACAGGTATTTTATGGGAAATATTTTTTGCCTCTAACACCCCCACATTTAAACCGCTACCCAACCAGTGTTTTATATTTTTAAAACTCGCCGTCAAATACGAATTTTGCCCTTCCTATGTAGTTCATCAGCGTATATTATTTTGAGCGTTTAAATTATTTCAAGTTTCGATGTAAAGCCCTTGATAGCAAAGTACCTACATTAAGCCGATGAAGCCGATCTCATAATTTTCAATCGCAACAAACCATTTCAAAGCACTAATCAAACACAATCCGGATTGGATTGCAAAAATTGGAAGCATGATGCAATGCAATCCGCAATCAAATCCTGTTTTTTTTTAATGGATTTCAAATCCAGGTGATCCAGGTGCAATCCACAGTGTATATAAATAATAAATAGTGCAATCCACCAAAAAGGAATGCAATCAGGATTTTGCAATCCTGCAATCACAATCCTTTATCCTACCGATGCCTGATGGTGACGGATAGCTACTTTTTTATTTTGCTTCCTAAGATTATCCCTATGCCGCTTTCATATTGTACCGTCTCAAACGCCACGACCCACGATCAATGATCATTTCCTACATGATGAATGAAGACCGTTTCAAATCCCACTTATGCTAATACGAGTAAATTTTCTCTATCGGTCCTTTAGGCTCTATCGCTCTACCACAAAGGACAGGTGTGCACCGTCCACTGAATGGTGCCCGTGGGTCTGGGACCGATCTGGACTGAGCGAACCGCGAACACATTTTCACACGCGTTCATCCTGTCATTCAGCGTGGGATCCCCCGGCAGGCGGCGCCCGCCGGCTGCGCTCGTTCAAAGTGGGCGGGGCTTGGAGTTTGGCGCGCAGCGGTGTGGCGCGTGGCGCGCCGCGGCGCTCCCGGCGCAGCAGAAATCAAAGCAGTCGCCGCCCGGCCGTCGTCGGCGTTGGTCGTTGTTCTGCGTGGTTCTGCGTGCGTGAGAGTGGAACCGGTGGAAATTGAGAGTGGAAGTGCAGGA